TTCACTTTTCTCCTCCGCCCCCTCTTTTACCCGGTTCCTTTATGGGCTGCCAGAAATTGAGCCCCCCCCCCCCCCCCCCCCCAACCACCCAGGTCTGTCTGATATCCCCGGTGAGGCAATGGTCAAGCTGTACTGTCCCAAGTGCATGGACGTTTACACACCAAAGTCCTCGCGACATCACCACACGGATGGAGCTTATTTTGGGACAGGCTTCCCCCACATGCTGTTCATGGTGCATCCAGAGTACAGACCCAAGAGGCCAGCTAACCAGTTTGTTCCCAGGTAAGGCTTGATGCAGGGTGGGGAGGAGGGGCCGGACACCGTACCGAGGTGGGGGTAGCAGGGAGGTGTGGGATGTTCACCAGAGCTCTACAGAGAATTACGCTCCCTCTGCCTCTTTTTTTTAAAAAAAAAAGTACAGCCCGTCCAGTTGTTACCACCTCGCATTTTCACCTTCTGTCCAACAAATGCAACGGACTCTGAAGTATGTAGAATTGACCCAACTGGATTGTGTGCGAAATCAGAATCTTTTCCGTGTCTCGAGCATTTCTTTTCAGAAGCATAAACAAAAGGACATTTTGTCGATGCTTTTCACCTTTGCATTCATCAGGACATTTGGCAAGAAATGCTGACATACAGATGTGAGAGGAGAGGGCTAGTGGGTTGACACGTGGGTTCTGATTGGTAGAGCTGTTGCCATGGAGAATGTGTCAGTTAGATGACTTTTTTCAGAAATATTAAACCAGGCAAGTTGAACATTCCAAAGCATTGCACTCATCCGACTGCATTCTGCATGGCAACATCTCTGCCAATCAGGGCCTACTTTCCAGCCAATCGGCACTGCCCTCTTACCCTGTAGAAATCCTGCTTACCCATTGCGTTGACGTTTCTTGCAAATTGTGCTGATGCATGCCAGTCACACAACTTGGAGAGCGTTTATTCCAGCATTACTTGGGTTCTGTAATGCCAGCGGACACAGCGCAGAAGTGAGCTAGTAATCGACAAGTTTGTATTTACTGTGCTCTCCTCATTCAGTGATCATACATCCAAACGCTTTTTGTTTTATTCATTGACGGGATGAGGGTGTCACTGGCTAGGCAGCATTTATTGTCCCATCCCTAATTGCCCAGGGGGCAGTGCAGAGTCAACCACATCACTGTGGATCTGGAGTCACATGTCGGCCAGACCAGGTAAGGATGGCTGTGTCCTTCCCTGAAGGACATTAGTGATGTAGATGGGTTTTTCTGACAATGGATTCACGGTCATTATTAGATTCTTAGTTCTGGAGGGAGTCGCTTGCCTGTCAATCTGAACAGTCACCCTGCCTGTGTTTATGTGCCCATCGTATTCAGGGAGCTCTGATAAATGGGTAGGGCACCACCTACACAAAGGAGATCCACTTGCGGGGCATTTGGTGGAGGGGGGAGAGGGAGCAGTTGTACTAATCCCTCTATTCAGCTTGAAAAAGGCAGTTTGGGAAGGTTGGAACATCAGCTGTGGCATATAGCGTGCATCCCTCTTTCAATGAGGAAGCTGGGTAGCAATAGCAGGTTCTGCTTTGATAACAAAGGCTGCTCCCAGTTTATGCTTATGGACCAGACCAAACACCCTCAAAATATTCAGAAGATAGTCTGTACCCTAACCCTTTCTTATTTCAAAGGTAAGTAACAAGCTCTGTCCCAGATGCAATGCGACTGGTCAAACTACTCGATATTAAGTAAAATGCTATTTATTCAAACACTATAGATAAAATACAATAATAGAAAAAAAAACAAAGAAGGAATTGGAATAACTTTATTGGAAAACTTAACAGTAGATATAGTAACTATTACTAATTAACTGTTCCAATATAGACACTGGTCTTGACCCAAGCTCCTGGTTTTGTGCTCCTGGTTTTACAGGTTAGATCAGAGGAGAGCTTCCATGGTATGTACGGTGTGCAGTGTGCATGGTACACACATGGTACGCATGGTGTGCAGTGTCATTGCTGCTGCCTCATCTTGGAGCACAGAAACAGACTGTTCCATCCAACTCATCCATGCTGACCAGATATCTTAAATTAATCCAGTCCCATTTTCCAGCATTTGGCCCATATCCCTTTAAACGCTTCTTATTCATGTCCCCATCCAGATGCCTTTTAAATGTTGTAATTGTACCAGCCTCCACCACTTCCTCTGGCAGCTCATTCCATACACGCACCACCTCAGAAAATGTTGCCCCTTCGGTCCCTTTTAAAATCTTTTCCCCCTCTCACCTTTAAACCTATGCCCCTTTAGTTTTGGACTCCCCCCACCCTGGGGAAAAGACCTTGACCATTCACCCTATCCATGCCCCTCTTGACTTTATAAGGTCACCCCTCAGCCTCTGACGCTCCAGGGAAAATAGTCCCAGCCTATTCAGCCTCTCTCTGTAGCTCAAACCCTCCAACCCCAGCAACATCCTTGTAAATCTTTTCTGAACCCTTTCAAATTTCACATCATCCTTCCTATAGCAGGGAGACCAGAACTGCACACAGCATTCCAAAAGTGGCCTAACCAATGTCCTGTACAGCCCCAACATGACCCTCCCAACTCCTGTACTCAACGCACTGACCAATAAAGGCAAGCGTACCAAACACCACCTTCACGGCCCTGTTTACCTGCACTCCACTTTCAAGGAACTATGAACCTGCACCTCAAGGTCTCTTTGTTCAGCAACACTCCCCAGGGCCTTACCATTAAGGTGTATTAGTCCTGCCCTGATTTGCTTTTCCAAAATGCAGCACCTCACATTTATCTAAATTAAACTCCACCTGCCACTCCTCGGCCCATTGGCCCATATGATCAAGGTCCTGTTGTACTCTGAGGTAACCTCCTTCACTGTCCACTCCACCTCCAATTTTGGTGTCATCTGCAAACTTATTAACCACGCCTCCCATATTCACATCAGAATTATTTTATTTAAATGACAAATAGCAGTGGACCCAGCACCGATTCCCTTGCGTCACTCCCTGAGAGTTCCTTTCCCTCCCCTCTTTAAGGCCCTTGTGAAAATGGAGGGCAGAAGGGGAGAGTGGTTTTTGTGGTGGGTCAAGCCCAGCTGCAGGTTTGGAATCCAGAGCAGACTGACAGGCTGAAAGCATTCCTCTCTCTTTCCCCACAAGTGTCGTATGTGCAATGGGTTTGCCACAGTTCAGTCCAGTGAGCTCAGGTGTCAAGCAGGAGGCTAATGTCACAAAGGCGCAATGGAAGTTTCTCTTCTGAAGGTCAGTCTGAGGCAGCTTCACAGTGGCTCCACGGATCTGGTGATCTACTGACAAAGTGTTGGTCACTGGGTGCCTGAGCTAGAGGGCTGGGAGAGGTGGTGTCCTGGTCCAAGCAGGGATCCACATCTCCTTGGGTTTGTAAGCTCCAAGCACTCTGTCTGTAGGGACTGATTGTTTCCAGTTTGTTAACTTCCCCTGTAGAAGATGTGGACTGTAGTCTTTCTCAAATCCTACAGTGTCCCTACAGTGGAGAAAGAGGCCATTCAGCCCATCGAGTCTGCACAGACCCTCTGAAGAGCATCCCAAACATGATTAGCATGGCCAATCCACCCTAACCTGCATGTCCCTGGACAAAGATGTGCAGGTTAGGTGGATTGGCTAGTGGGAAATGCAGGGTTACAGGGAAAGGGTAGAGGGATGTATCTGGATGGGATGCTCTTCAGGACGGTCAGTGTGAGCTCAATGGGCCAAATGGTCTGCTTCGGCAATATAGGGATTCTATGATTCTATTAAGGAGCCGTATTGCATGGTGAATCCAGCTCACCTGCACACCTTTTGCCCGAGTAATGCTGTGGTCCCTCACCAGACAAAACAGCATCTAGCCCTTTTGAGTTCTTTCAATGTTCCAAGCACGTTGGTCAGATTGTCCCTGCGTTGTTTGACATGTGGGAATGCAGGCCACATTAGCGCAGTCTTTCACCAGAGCGCCAGCCCTGTCACTAGGTTACAGCCAGAGTTACAGTCTACCTAGACTGTAGAAAACAAAAACTCTCTTTCCCCCTCCTTTTTAGGAACTGAGAGATTTTGGTTTCTGAGAGTATGCAGTTTGGGTTTGTGAGAATGAAACTTGGCTGCCGATCTTAATTCCCTGGAGGGAGAGAGAAAGCGTAGAAATTAAGGTCCTGTTTATGACCTTGAATTTACAAGCTCACGGAGTGATATAACCGAGCAATGTAGATGGGGCACAAATAGAAGCTCTTTCCACTCGCTGGAGAATGTAAGACTAACCAAAACCTTTTGCTCAGGAGTGAAATTGTGAAACACTTCCTCGCAAAAAGGAGGTAGATATTTGGAAATCTCCTGTGAACCACAGCTGAAGCTTAAACATTTGCTCATTTTAAACCTTCAGTTGGTCAGTTTTTGTGAAGCAAGGGTATAAGGGGGTATAGGGCAAAGGTGGGGATATGTAGCAATAGGACATGGATCAGCCGAGATCCCATTGAATGGGGGTGAAATTGGCTTCAGAGGCTATATGGCCTGATCCTCTTCGTGTTCCTAAGCTTAGTATTGTTCCAGTGACTCTGTGCTCAAAGATCAGTGACATGTTCCTGAGGGGTACTGCCCAGAACTGAACACTCTACTTCAGATGAGTGCTGCCTGAGACTTTGCACATCTGAACCATGATTTGTTCCCTTCCTATTCCAACCCCTTTGAGGTTAAGGCCATTAATCTGTGTGTGTGCCTTTGATAGAAAGTAAGAGCAGGTGTAGGTCATTTGGCCCTTTTTAGACTAGAAGGTATAGGAGCAAAATTAGGCTGTCTAGCTCATTGACACTGCTCCACCATTCGATCATGGCTGATATGTTCCTCTAATCCCATTCTCCTGCCTTCTCCCCATAACCCTTGATCCCTTTACTAATCAAGAACTTATCTATCTCAGTCTTCAAGACACTGAATGACTTGGCCTCTACCACAGAAGCTTGCGATCAGTTCCATAGTCACCAGCTTCTAGCTAAAATTCCTTCTCATCTCATCACTCTGAGGCCGTACCCTTGGGTCCTAGTCGTTAAAACATCCTCTCCATGCCCACTCTATCCAGACCTCTCTGTACTCTAAGTTTTATCATTCTAAACTCCCAAGTACAAACCCGGGGTTCTCAATTGCTCCTCATACGACAAGTCTTTGAATCTGTTTTCCCATTCAATATGATTCTGACTGATCATCCAACTTAGTCCCCTATTCTCACTTTCTCCCCCATGCTCTTTAATCTTTGGAGCCACATAGACCCCAGGTTTGATTCCACCCTCTGGGGACTGTTTGTATGGAGTTTGCACATTCTCCCTGATTCCACACCGTCAGAATGCTGGCCCAGTCGAAATTATGTTCATGTGGTCATTGTTTGTTTGCCAAGTAATGATGATAGCTGATCTAACAGAAACTCATTGACTGTCAATAAGCAAAAACATTTATCATATTTCATTTCATTTGTTTGTAGTTGTGCACAGCTGATGTCCCCATCTGGAACAATCTGAAGCTTTGTAAAACAAAGGATTGTAGGGTGTTGGTCAGGTTTTAATAATGCGTGCCTTTTATGCTAGAGACATCCAACTGAACAGGATATTTTTGGAAACACCAGAAGCATATCACTGTGTAGGAAATTTACCTCCACCAACTGCACCTGCTTTTGTTGTGGCTCACCTCTGCATGCCTCATCTCAAACCATCTGGGCTCAGGATTCTCAAATTGAACAGTTTTCAACTCCCATCAGTAATCAGGGTAGTTTCACAATTCACTCTGCTTTCCAGATAGTTGGGAATGTTTGTTTTGTGTTTTTCTTTAGGAAAAAAAGTATAGTCACCATAGTCCTACTGGACCACAGGGCTGCTCTCAATAGAAAGACACAACTTGTGGTGGTTTAACCTGAGGGTCACCATGCCTCAGGCAAGGGGGGAGATTGAGAAGGAGGGTCCTTCATGATAACCTCAGCTGCTGTGGGAATTGGCGTCACTCTGCATTGCAAACCAGCCATCCAGCTAACTGAGCCCTCCCCCCGCCTGTGTGTGCGTACAGCCTTAATGTTCCTTCCTGTAGCCCCTTTTAAAATTGTACTGATCAGTTTATGCTGGTTCTCTTAGTCACTTTTTTCACTGTTTTCCACCCAGTGGCAACTTCCACAGTGTGGACACAGATCAATAGTAGGTGATTGCTTTAGAACTGATGCAGTTAACTGCCTGTTATAATTGTGATGTTTATCTCTCGGGGCAATTAGAGTTCACAGTGCACAACTTCTCACATGTCCATATTGGACTCAATCGTAAAAGCGTGAGCAATAGGAACAGCAGCAGGCCATTCGGCCCCTCAACTCTGCCCCTCCATTCAGTGGGATCATGGCTGATCTGATATTCTTCGCGTCCACTATCCAGCCCTTTTCCTCTCGATTTTCTCCGACTGATCAAGAAACTATCGACCACAGCCTTAAATATACACTCGGACTATCGCCACAGCTCTCTATGGCCAGGAGTTCCAAAGACCCTCAACCCCCGAGAGAAGAAATTCCTCCTCCATCTCAGCCTTAAATTGGTGCCCCTTTATTCGGAGACTGTGCCCCCTGCTTGTAGACCCTCCCATGAGGGGGAACATCCTCTTAGCATTGACCCTGTCAAGCTGCTGATGAATCCGGTATGTTTCAGTGAGTGCCTTTGCTCACTTCCCCCAGCACCACTTGCTGTCCTCTTTAATTGTCATCTGTAAACTCGTCTTAAAAGGTGTATGGTTTTGTGGCCATCTGCTTTTGATCTATTGTATGCATTTGCATACAAAATGCCTGAGGAAAGATTAATCCAATCTGACATTTATGCTCCACTTGACCACCACCTATCATCCTCGTGTAAACAAATGTGACATTCATTCCCTTGTGATGCACGCACCCCTAGCTTTTTCTATTTAAAGCATTTATTATGGTTGCTGCAATCCCTCTTTGCTGTGAAGTTCCTCATTCTTGCCATAAACTCACCCAGTTTCTTCAGAACTTCCTTTTTGATGTCTTTCTGGTTTATCAGCCTATTGATGGCCAATCAGTTTCAAAAAATGGAGAAGTAAGATTGTAAAATGTGGGTGAAGCAACAGGCCCTTTTAACCCCATTAAGTCTGCTCTGCCATTCACAGGCTAATCTGATGGTCCTCAACTCCCCTTTCCTGCCTCCGCCCCATCGCCATTGATTCCGTTACTGATTTTAACAATCTGCGTCAGTCTACAATTAACAACCCAGCCTCGACAGTCCTCTGCAGTGATGAATCCCACACATCTTCCCATATCATATTCAGTTGGTAAGATTTTGTTCACTCATTTAACGCCGTCTGTATCCCTCTGGTAGATTTGTGTCGTACTCAACGACTGCTTAACCAGCTATTTCATCAGCAAACACAGCTATAGTGCATTCACCTCCCTCCTACATCGTAAATAATTGTGGCCCTAACACTGATCCCTGTGGCACACCACCAGGTTACCAGCCTGGAAATGCTCCCCTTTATTCCTACTCTGTCTTCCATTAGTTAGCCAATCCTTTTTTTCATGTTAATAACCAGCCTGCAACACCACAGGCTCTTGGCTCACTAGGCTAAATGTATGTGTTATCAAAAAGCCTTTTGGAAATCAAGTACGCTACATCTCCTGGCTCCCCTTTACCTATCCTGCTGGTTTCATGCTCAAAGACCTGTAATCAGCTTGTCTCGGGCACTATTTCCCCTCATGAAGCCATGTTGATTCTGCTTATAATTTTATAGTTCCAAATGCTCGGTTATTACACCCTCTAAAGGAGACTGACTTTTTCCCATTGATTGTATGCTTATGTGGCTTTTAATTATCTGTTTATTTTGGCTCCCTTAAGTAAAAGTGTTAGACTAGCAGTTTTCCATTCCTGCCTTTAAGGATTCCTGGAAGACAATGACTAATGTAGCACTGTTTCTTTAAATTCCTAGGATGCATCCCATCAGGTCCAGGGGACTTTCAGTCTTTGGCCCCAATTTTTTTTCCTCTAGTGATTGTTACTTTTTTCATTCGTTCATGGGATGTGGGCATCTGTAGCTGGGCAAGCTTTTATTGCCCAGAGAATAGCTAGGAGTCAGCCACATTGCTGTGGGTCTGGAGTCACAGGCCAGGTAAAGATGGCAGTTTCCTTCCATAAAGGGCATTGGTGAGCCAGATGTGATTCACAGTCATCATTAGACTCTTAATAGCGATATTTGTTGAATTCAAATTCCACCGTCTGCTGTGGCGCGATTTGAACCTGAGTCTCTTGATTATTAGCCTTGTGATAATACCATCATGAGCCTATTGCATCCCTGATTCCTCTCCCATTTTAGCAACTATTTGGGAATGCTATTCGGATCCTCTACTGTGAAGACAAATGCAAAGTAATTATTCAACTTCTGTCACTTCCCAGTTCCATCACCAACTGGATTGCTGTGGGTTTGAGCCCATGTCCCCCCTTAGAGCAATAGTCCAGGCCACTGGTTCACTCATCTTGCCACTTACGCCATAACTCCCTGTAAACCAGGCATTAGCCGCACTGCTGTGGTACTGGGCGGAATTGGGAAACCAGATCTCGCACACACACACAGTTGTGTGTCGGGTGTCCCCATCTCTCTGGGATGGTCAAGTCCACGCTTCAGGATTACTAAGGCAGTCATGTAACCATTGCCTAGCCAGTGCTGTTGTACTTCTCTCCCTGTGTGTGTTTGGGTGCAGTGGCTGCTCAGTCAGCTGAAGGATTCTGCTTGAAAGAACTTGCAGGAACTGTGAAACCATTGGCATGCGATTACACAGTATTGGCCAGGTTGCTCCTCTCTCTTTCTTTTTAAAAAAAAAAACCTTCAAACTGCAACAGAGTGCAGAAACACCAGGGTGTTCCCGCCAATCTTTATTACACACCAACAAAAACAGGAGCTGCTGGAAAAGCTCAGCAGGTCTGGCAGCACCTGTGGAGAGAAATCAGAGTTAACGTTTCAGGTCCAGTGACCCTTCCCCTCAACTGATGGTAGCTACATAAAGGGTGGTTCTTATGCAGGAGATTGGAGGAGGAATAAATGCTAGGTGGAGGTAGAGGCCCAGGACAGAGGGAAAAAAAACAGGTAGGCAGACAAAGGAGTTGTCCAAGGTCAGTCTGAGGGAATGAAAAGCAGTTAATGGGTACCATTAGTAGCTGACAATGGGTGTGTGGTAACAGCCAATGTGACAACAAGGCCTGGTGTCTGAGGCTTGCAGTAAGGACGTGGATGGAAGTGCCTCAAGCCCTAAAATTAGTGAACATGATATGGAGTCTGGAGGGCTGCAGGGTCCCCAAGCAGAAAATGAGGTGGTGTTCTTCCAGCTTTCACTGAGCTTCAAAACCAAAATTGCTGGAAAAGCTCAGCAGGTCTGGCAGCGCCTGTGAAGGAAGAAACAGTTAACGTTTCGGGTCTGGCATGTTAAACTGACAGCCAATGGGAAGCTCAGGATCAGTGTTGAACTCTTAAGTGCTTTAGCACTTTATTTTCCACTTGGGAACTCTACAGCCTTCTGGACTCAATATTGAGTTCATTTTTTTTAGGGCTTGAGGCACCTTCTCCATGTCCTTTACCCCAGCCCCCACACACCAGGCCTTGTTATCACATGGCCTGCTATTACACACAGCTCATTGTTAGCTACTGATGGTGCTTCATTAGCAGATATTCATTTGACCTTTTACCCAATCTTGTGTTTGTCTAACTGTGTTTCTCTCTCTTTGGGTTCTATCTTCACCCACCCTCCCCCAATCTTCTGCATGAAAACAAACCCTTTCTTGGCTTACCCTCAGTTCTGAGGGTCACTGGACCCGAAACATTTAACTCTGCTTTCTCTCTTCACAGATGCTGCCGAATTCCTCCAGCAATTTCAGCTCTTGTTTTTGATCTCCGCCATCCTGCAGTTCTTCCGGGATTTTCTGTTGCAAAACCCTGGTCAGCCCTCGGCTTGGGGGGGAGGGTGTGTGGTTAGCGGCTAACTCTGAACGCCCTGGTTTTCAGCCCTCCTGCTACAGAAACTGGAGTGCTTCCTCTCGCAGCGGAGGAAGGCAGAGGTAGATGGGTGGGATCCAGCAAAAACAAAACATTTCTACTTGGCTAAAGCATCGACCGCCAAGTTAGGGCGATTGGTCACTGTTAGAGATGTGCAGCTTTTAATGATGGAGTGGAATGCGATGCCAGAAGGAGTGGATTCAGCGGTGCAAGAGAATGGGATGGGTATGTCAAGTAGACTGTGGCTCTGGGGGGAAGAGAGTGCTGGGACGTGGGGAAATGGGACCAGTGAGAAAGATCTTGGCTGACGCTAGTGCATTGGAGTCCTTGTTTCCTGCAAACCTGTGTCTTAACTCTCTCCCTCCTTTTTTTTTTCTGTCTTTGTTGAACTCCCTCCCTCTAACCAGGCTGTACGGTTTCA